ACTAGTCATAATCCCAACATTATCTCACGACTACAGTCATAATCACATCATCTCATGACTACAGTCATAATCACATCATCTCATGACTACAGTCATAGTCACAACATCATCTCACGACTACAGTCATAATTACATCTCACGACTACAGTCATAAACATGACATCATCTCATCATGAGAAGCTAGAAGTTAGAGTTTGGTTAACTGGACAAAAACAGCCTTCTGGAGGATTCTAATGAAAATTCACTGCATGCTGAAAAGTGTGCTGATAAGCTGGCAAACTATTTTAAGAGCAAAGTGACCAAAGAGACTTTAACATGTGATCCAGTGTTAACAAAACGAATGAGTTAGTGGAGCTTTTTACCTTCTTCTATTCAACCTTCATTCAACAAAGGGGACGTTGACAGAAGAAAGTGGCAAATCTAAGAGTCTAACAGCTGCCATGTTCTCCCTATGTGTGAGTGTGTGTGTGTGTGAGAGTGTGTGTGTGTGTGTGAGCGTGTGTGCATGCGTGTGTGTGTGTTAGTAGGTGAAGAGGCCTTTGCAGAGTACTCTGAACCAGTTAGTGACTGTCGGTCAAAGGCCTCCTGCAACACACATATGTAGTCCTGCTGGATGTGTGTGTGTCTGTTACGTCTCTGTATTTGCATGTGTGTGTGTGTGCGCGTGTGTATGACAGTGTGTGTGTGTGTGTGTGTGTGTGTCCACAGATAGCAGCAGGTTAAAGATTAACGTTGGCCGGCTCGTAAAGCTAACACCAAGACAGTGAACCTTTGGAGTTTGATATGATGTGATCACACACACACACACACACACTCGGCCCTCAGAATGACACAGCTCTGATCGGAGGGAGGTGATCTCTGGAATTGCTCAGGTGAGTTTTTGTGTTTCTCATTCAAAAGAAAGAAATATTTTATATTCTGTTGTTTTCAATCATCACCTGAGAAAGAGAGAACATGTAAAGTGTCGTTCGACCACTCTTCTTCGCTGGTGTCTGATGAACAGTAGCTGAAAGGCTAAACACGGCTAACTGAACCAACAGGCCGAGAAGCATTCACGTGAACTATAAATGACAGAGAGAATACAGTGTGTGTGTGTAAATATAATATTAATATGAATATCTTATACATAATATTAGCAATTGTGGAAGAAGTATTCAGATACTCCCATTATAAATACATACATTACAAGTGTTCATAACATTAGGAAGAACTACTTCCAGAAATATGATCAAAAATATATTTTAAGTATCAAAAATGAATACATTAAATTCAAGTTGATTTTATGTGAGTTTTATTAAGGTTTAAAATAAAACTACTAAAACATTAAAGCTGTTTATTAATGTTATATTTTACTCTTTTAATCTAATTTAAATGTATTTTTATATAAAGTCTAGTTTATCTATATATTTACTTACAATCATATGTAATTATGAATCATTTTATAAGAAGTTTCCTGAAATTCTGAAAATCTGAAAAGAGTACCTCTGGGTACTTAGAAGTACTTTTACTCAAAGAATCAATACTTTCGTAGAAACAACTGTTCCAAGTAAAAGTCCTGTAAAAGAAATGTAACACTTAGAAGTGTTGGTGATAACATTATAGAAATACAGTTTATTTCTAAACTGTCAAAATAATCATTTTCTCTGATTATAGAGTGGTGGTTGATTTTAATAATAAGATATTATTAGGAAATGTTAAATGTTAAATGACATTTTATGTTTTTGTGTAAACATTTATAAACTCTTAACTTTATTGAACAGAAATGAGACAGAAGATAAATTATAAGCTGAACGTCTGACATTAAGAGAAACTTGCATGCTGGGAATCGTAGGAGATTACGAATTGATAATCATATCTGTGTGGGGGGGGGGGGCGGGGCTAAAGGCACAGCTGATTGGATGAAGAGGTGACACTTTAGTGATGAATCATTAAATCAGTAAAACTGATTCCTGTCTTTATGGAAGCTCATTTATTAATCCAACAAAAATAAAAACGTAAAATGTTGAATGTTATTTTTAATTCTAATTGAAAGATAAAAGAGATTTAACGTTTACTGATCGTAAAAACCCAAAGATTTGTGAATCTGGGCTGAATAAATAAAAATATGAATAAATTGACAACTTGACATGAGATATAAAGTTCTGAGAGTTTAAATAAAGTTTGTCCAAACAGTTGGTAAAGAAGGAGTCACAGGGGAACCGGAGGTTTGATGATTAATTAATGCTCGAACATCATAAAGAGAGCGTTAAAGGTTTGGACGGATTCAAAATGGATTTGACTTAAATATGAGAAAATAAACATTTTACTAGACGTAGAATAATATTTCATACTAATGATGTAGATTGTATCTCGCTCTGATTTAGAAACTTTAAAATGTTTCAGTTATTAAATCTATATCGCCCTCCCTCCTTCACCGCCATCGTCGTTATGAATCACCCAGAGAACATGGAGGCAGTAAAGAGTCACGGTACCACAAACAGTCAAATGTAGAAGTAGTAGTACTAGTACTGTGTATCTGTGAGGACCGTTTGACTTAAAACATCATTATTTTGACTCAATATCTTCATCATTTATATGGACTTGATATCAGGATGTTAATTCTCACTTGTAACTTGACGTGTTTTTTTGGTTTTCTTCTTCATGTTTTGGCACAAACGGGCTTCCATAGTTCCCAGTTTCCATATTAACATCAAAGCTTTGAACTAAAAATGAAGATTATTTTAGTTTTGGAGCAAAATTATTAATTAATTAATGAAAATCATAGTGTGTGCGTGTGTGTGTGTGTGTGTGTGTGTGTGTTGAACCCAGTCGAGCTGGTGGAACATGTTCTCTGTAGAGCTGTGCCACATCAATCAACTTCACAGAATGATTTAATGCACAAACATTAAGGTATCAAACACGTATTAATACTTTACAGTTAAATATTTAACCTTTATTCCAACATGAAAAAAAACAGAAAATAACACTTTGATAAACACGTCAGGACATCTTATTATAGTCTCAGTATAATATAATAATATATATATCATACAATAATATATATATCATATAATAATATTCACTATAATATAAAACACACACAGACGCATATATATATATCGATATATAGATATATATATAGTTTCTCTTTGAAATGCAACAGAAAGTGTGTGTGTGTGTGTGTGTGTGTGTGTGATCACCATGCTAATGAATGCAGTTAAGATGCAGCAGCACGCTGTTTATCATTACACTGATTATATCAACCTTTCTTTAAGGTTCAAAGGGTTAGCTCTAAGTAGCCACTTAGTAGTGTGTGTGTTTACAAGTGTGTGTGTGTGTGTGTGTGTGTGTGTGGTGCTCACGACCATAAAGGAAAAGTGTGTTGTTCTACAAAGTGTGGCTTCAGGTTGAGGTTCGTGTTGCAGCACAAAGGAAGCTTTTCTGTCACTGAGGGTCTCACGAGGACACAAAGGCAGTGAGTGAAGCTGTGTATGTGTCCACTCAGTGAGACAGTGAGACGGACACTCCGGCTGCAGTCTGTCCAGAGTCTCTGTCAATGATTACAGAACAGACCTTGACCTCTCTGCTGCTCACTTCAAACACAACTCGTATCTGTTGTCGAGAGTTCAGCTCAGTGAGGACACGACAAGCAGCATGTTGTTTACCCGGAGCAGCCTGCTCTCAGTGACACGGTTACAGTGTGTAGAGACTGGAGGCTGCCCCGTATAACCACAGTCTGATGTGTGGGGCACCGGACGGCTCCACTGGACCAGTGAAAGGCCTTGCTCAAGGGCAGCGACTCAACCCAGTCGCCAGAAAAAATATTGGGATTGTACATTTTTACAAAAGCACAGATATGTTAAATGTCAACGTTTCAGAATCAAAAACATGTTTCATGAATATATCTCATATCCCGGTTGTATAAATGCACGACATGCGGTTAACGTTGAGAAACGGTAGGTTAGGTTTAGGCAACAAAACTACTCGGTTAAGGTTCGAAGAAAGATTATGGAATATATAAGAATACGCAACAATGTAACTTTACAATCATAACAACAGAACATCATAATGGAACAACTAGTAGAAACAACATCATATGACAATATAATGGAATAACGGAACGGAACAACGTGACTGAACAGCATGATGAACAACTTAATGTTACAATCGTAACAAGGGAACAACGTAACCAGACAGTGTCTTAACAGCTGGAGTTTAACTACACTTTAACAACACTAACAGTGTAAATCCTGCCATCATTAACAAGAGGGTTCATCCTCTTAGGAGCATGAACATGATCCCAACATTTCACCACAATCTGCCCGTCACATATTTCATTATTGTGAAGTAGAACTCTGACTGACTGACAGCTGACTGACCACCTCTAAATGTTGTGTGCACTACAAAGGTTCAGAGACGGATTTACAGTTTCGTAGGACACCGAAAATAACATGTTTTTATTCTGTTGTTTTCCAGCGAGCACCCCTAATTTCCCTGATTTACATATCGCTGTCAATCACACCCAATGGAATCCAATCAGAAAGCAGGTGGGGACGGACTGGCGGGGACGCAGAAGGAGGCCGCGCTGAGGGCGCTAATGCAACGCACAGGATACCAACTGCAGCAGGTAGGAAACTGAAATGTCTGGACTTGATTGAGCTTCGAACACAATATACTGTATTTGTGTGTGTGCTGCAAACGTCATGTGTGGAATATCCATAAATAAAAGTGCAAAATAAAGAAGATTCTTAAGTGCAGATGCTGGTTTAGTTAACTAAACAACATGACCCGTGGTCCTCAGATGGACTCTGCTTTACACTTCTATAATCCTTACTGTGTTTTTATTCTGATCTCTGTTTCAGGAGAACGGTCAGCGGCGGTATGGCGGCCCACCACCCGGCTGGGACGGACCGCCGCCAGAGAGAGGCAGCGAGATCTTTGTGGGGAAACTCCCGAGAGATCTGTTTGAAGACGAACTGGTTCCTCTGTGTGAGAAGGTGATGACTGTTTCTACTTTACAAACATGTCGTTTGAATCAGCATGCAGTTCTCACAGCTCTGTTCCCGTCTCCAGTACGGTACAATCTACGAGGTGAGGATGATGATGGACTTTAGCGGGAACAACAGAGGTTACGCCTTTGTCACCTTCAGCACTAAACAAGAGGCTAAAGCAGCCATGAAGCAGCTCAACAACTACGAGATCAGGTCCGGGTTTGTTTCCTAACACCTCCACCACTCTGGAGACCGACCTTTAAATGCATCGTCATCGTAGACTGATTACAGGCTGCTGATCCTTCTTCAAAGAAATACTAACGAGCTTTAACTAGCAGTATCGCTGCAGTAACGTAGATCAGCCAAACAAGCACCAAGCAACACCATAGCCACCACACAAGTCCTCT